CAACAATTGCTGTTGCTTATTCTGGAAATTAAGTGGATAACCAGAAACCAGCTATTAATCTGATTCATTTTAAATAGGCAAGAGAGGCAGAATTCAGATGGAAGGAACCTTCCATCAAGTTGCAGTTACTCTTTTCATTGCCAGCTGGAAAGAAGTGCTTGATAGCAAAGTGTTCCAGAATGCAACTGCATTATGAATAGCTGAGTGATCTGTTAACAAGGATGAATTACATTTATTCAGTCTGGCTGAAGATGTTTGCTGTGTTTTTAAAAATCTGTTTGCTGAAAGAGCCATTAGTATCAAATATTTTGTCTTTATATGTCAGAATAAGTAGTGTAATCTATGCCAAACATCCTTACAAAAAGAATGTGATTTAGATGACATAGTGACATTCACCGTCTGCGAAGGAGACAGAACAAATACAGACGGCTGAGGAGATGTTAATCCTGCTTGCCTTTCTGATTTTCAATTATCTCCATTTAGACAGCTGCAAGGAAAAACTGCACAGGAAACTTCCAAGTGTCTCTGGATGAATTCAATTACTTTGACCATCACAACTGTTTTCTTACCACAAAGAGGAGAAATGGAAGCAAATACTGGTACAGATGCCTTCTGGGTAGTGAGATTTAATGCTATTAGGGACAAAGGAAACATTGTAATTACAAACTAGGTCCTTTAAGTTTGACAGTGGAAAGATTAAAAACCTTATCCTATCCAGTACAGAAAATCTATGTGGATATTATCCTGTATTTTCATTAGACAGATTTTTGTATGAAATAAGCTAAATTTGCCTAAGCTGTAAAGATCAGCATGTTGGGACACTGATCTGTCTTACCCTCCTGAATCTTTAATTGTCTTTCTAAATAAATCAGCTCAGGACTTGGGCAGGTGACCTCAGAGCAGAAGTGATCTGTGACTCGTTTTAGTGGCTGATTCAAACCTGGGTCCAGATCACGAGGGCTGTTGGGAGTCTGTTGTGAACTGAACAAAGACTTAACAATTTAACTAAAAGTTAAGTTGAATCTTGTATTACCATTTTCAGATTACAAAGAGCGCGAAGTACTGGAACAGATTGCTTGGGAATGCTGTGAATTCTACATCACTGTCACTATAAAGAGCAGGTGAGACAAGTATGTCAGGAATCATTTATGTAGAGGCGATCTTGTCGTAGAGCAGAAAAACAGAATAGATGACCTCTCAACATCTTTGTGACACTTATTTCCTATGGCTGTGCTTTGAATTTAGATATACAAACAACATATATGTATTTAAAGTACCCTTTGTGTGTAGTTTAATTATTCAGTACTGAAGTATGTCTTAAACAGCCAATTAGTTGCTGTTTAAGACATACTAGACTGGAACAAAACAAGGAGGTTTGTTCCAGTCTAGGTCCTGTATTTTCTTCAACTGACACACTTCCTTGTTACTTTCTTTAAAGAACATTTATGTTACATTTTTAAACTTGTTCTCTTTATAAATATGATGATATACTCATATTTCTGCAGGCTTACTGCCAAAAATATTTTCCTGTTTGTTGTGTGAGGTGTTTATAAAGAGTTGCTCCCACTGCTTTTTATGAAAGGAACAGTAGAAATTGCAGTGATTAGTGGGTCTGCAACTTGGTGGGCGGCTAAGGGAGAGAAAAAATGTAATTTCCAAATAATTTTTAATACATTGTGCAGAACAAATCCTCTCTGAATCCTTCGTTATAGTGATAAACTACTTACCACCATTGAGAACGCATGCCTCCAATTTCAGTAATTTAAGATAGAAACATGCAGTACTGACACCTGTAGTATCTTATTCCAAAAGCAGGGTCACTTGTGATGTAACTGGCCACTGCTGAAGAATCAGGTCACTTTGTGTCCCTGTCAAGGTCAATAAGGGTAGCAGAAGCTAGTTAAAAATGTATACATGCTTAAGGAGGCAAAACAGTAATTAAAAAACACTGGAACAGACCAACTTATATAAATAAATCAATAAAGCTGATAGTTTTAAGAAACTGGCGTTTGTTTCCATTGAAATCAGACACAGACGGTTTGGTCTCTATTGTTATAACACAGCACACACAGCACTAAAAGATCAGGTTATGTCACTTAAATGCAGTTGTGATGGAGGACTCAACTGGGTTAGCATTAAAGGGCCTTAATGTAACATGGCGCATGAGCAAAACTTCTTCAGGGAGCTCATTAGAGCACATCAAAGATGGCTAAATCTACCTTTGTGTTAGGCTTCCCCCGTTCATCTCCTTGGCACTCCTTTATTGTAGTTCTGATAACTGGGCAACTCCGTCTGTGGATAAATACAAGTTTATGCAGCTTTCTAAAATTTGGGCTCGCAGACCTGAATGAGGACCACGAGCTTTAGGAGGAACCATTCTTCTACAGCAGAAAACTCTTCAGGCAGCACTGCTGGTACTGATCAAAACCAAAGTTTTGGGATTCACCTGTACTGCGGCGAAGGCCTACGACAAGAAAGCATTACTTAATGTCAAGTACCAAGAGCTGGTGGTGTACAGTTACACAGTTTTTGTTCATTTGTAGAACTGGCGTGCCAACTTCAGGCACACTTGCGGACGGGTCAAGCAGAGCTGTCGAGCAGCTCCGCAGGGGGACGCGGGCCCCTTCCAGGCGCCCAGTTGCGGCATCGCCCCAGCGGGCCCGAGGACCTGCCAGCGGCCACCTTTCCTCAACAACGTCAACCAGGAGGTGCCGCGCAGTCCCGTTTGCTGCCGGGGCAGGACCCCACCTGGGGTGGCAGGCCGGGAGCAGCACAGCTGCCACGTACAAATAGGTGTAACTGTCCAGTCGCCTTTCCCCCCTTCCCAGGAATCGTAAATAACCCTTCCCTCCACTTCTCTCTTCCCACCGCCCCCCTCGGGGTG